TCCTAGAATTGCTGTAAAAAAAAAAACATGTTTGGTTAAAAAAAAAAAAAAAAAGTAAAAAAAAAAAAAAGAAATATGAAATCAAATTTGGCTAAAAGGAAATAAAAACAATTTGTAAATTTATAATTTTGTGATATTATGACTTTAATGACTTTTTTAAAGAATAATACTCTTTACTAGAGCCCGACCAATATGGGTTTTTGGGGCCGATACCGATACCGATATTAGGGAGTAAAAAAAAGGCCAATATTGATATATCGGCCGATATTCTTTGTGTATATTATGGTACAGTACCAGTCAAAAGTTTGGACACTTTCCCATTCGTGTGTCCACATATTTGGCTGGTACTATATATAGAATACAGTATATTACAGGCTCATACCGGCCGATAATATAGGCAAAACGATATATCGGTCGGGCTCTACTCTTTACTATAATGTAGCTGTATATATATATATATATATATATATACTGTATAAATAATATCTATGCAACAATAAACATTGTCAAAAAAATAATAAATCATTACAGCCTTAATTTATGCAGCAATGTTAACAATTTTACAACTAATTGAAAGAATTACTATTACTGTAATGAGAACTTATAATGGAATAATGGAAATGACAAAAAAGTAAACTATCCAGCTGCATTTAGTAAAGAGTATTTGTGTGTGATCTGAGATACACAATCAAATATACTGAATATATATATAGAATAACTTTCATGAGATTCACTCATACATCTGCAAATGAATGGTCAAAGAAAACATTCGGCAAAATAAAATAAAAAACATACATATACATACACTAGAGTGACTCATATTCATCCTATTAAAACCTTTGTTTGTTTGGGTGAGATTCAGCATGGGTTCAGCAAGAAGGGGTTATAGATTGTGTGTCTATAAAAGGTTGACTCTCATGTGAACATGGCCATGTCATATTTCATCCTAAAATTAAAAAGAAAAACATTTCTTTGCATTAACAAATTATTATGACCCAAATTACTAAATATGACCTGGATGTGTTTTTGACAGGGTTCATGAGTCTCTAATAATATAATTTAGATAATCAACTGTGTAATGTAATTAGTTGTGCATTTTCTCAACAGATTTTGGAAGAATGTTACCGTGTCTCCAGAAATCTGTTCATTTGTACACACTGATTTATAAAGAACCACTTCCTGGTCCTCCATGCAATGCAAACTGTAGAGAAGATGATTACATATGACTTCCTGCACTAATGATTAAACACAGACCTGCAGTGAATCCATCTCAAAGTGTCTCCTTACTGTATACTGTTACAAAGGAAACTTCCTGAATTTCTAGCTACAGTTGAACTGGCTTTCATTATATCGCATTAGCAACCACAGTCAAACACAGGAAATGATGAAAAGCTATAATAACAATGACCAATACTATAGGTTATGATATAAATTTCTAAGGAGAATGATTTTTTTAAAATCCAGCCAGTAGCTATATATATATATAT